TGCTAGCAGTTCAGAAGCAGAAAGTGAGATGCATTAAACTTCTTTCTAGTCAATCTTTATTTTATAGGTTTGCATCACAGCAGGGAAACCAAGTTACACAGACCATCCTGATTTGTATCTACCTTGCTTCTCTTCAAATACTGTTTGTTGTTCTTTTAATAAAGTTTAAAAAAATACTGAAAAAATCCATTTGTACATCTGAACATGAACTGAAGAACAGGATATTTACAAGTCACCAAAACCCCTGGAACTGGACCTTGCTGTACAGGGAAAGTCTTTTGGTTCTTTTGGAGGTCATTTACTAAATGAATTCAGAGCTACATTGTACAAGGTGCCCTTCAGCTGCTTAATGACACAAGAGGATCTAGAATTAATTATTAATAGTTACTAAAGGAAAAGGGAAGCTATTTAGACCCATACTCTGTTTTGACAGAGCAGGTACCAGCCCAACGCTCCAGCACCCTAGCTACAAGACGAAGAAGTACTTCTGATAATGTGGAAGTCAAGCTCTACTTTAATACACAGAGAGCAGAACGTCAAGTGAAATCCCACAGGGAAATATTTATTAAGAATTATCCTTTCTACAGGATTGCTGCAGTCCAAACATAAATGGGTTCTTCAGCCAGTCAACCTACAAGGAGTGACTCTTTTCTCAGCCACCTTCTTCCAGTACCATCGCTTTACATATAAGTGAGTATCTCAGTATTTTTCTTAAATCCTGTTCCAGTCACTTGCAAGTACATAACATACGCAGTTCTTACAGGATCGTTGCTGTATCCAAACAAGAAACTACAAGGGGGAAAATACACACCTTCCCAATATTGCTAAGTAAAAGTGATTAATAAGCCCAAACCAGCATCATACCCAGCAGCTATGAGAAAAGCCAGATTAATCCAATTTAGAACAACGTTTTGCAGCAAATCAACCCCAGGGAACACAAAGAACCACTGGTCAAGTGCCTCTGGGCAGCACCACCTCAGATTTCATTAAACATTCAGGTTTCTGAAGTTACACCCAAGGTCACAGGTTTTAGACAGTCTAAGTCCCGTTATATTTCAAATATCACTGTACCTTCCACCTACTGCAGACCACAGCTCCATGCACTTTTTACAAAGGTGAAAAATGGGGGAACATTTTATGATTGGAGGTCATAACATCAAATTAAAAAAATACATTTACTTTAAAGTAACAGTAGTCTGTTAGCTATCATGACAGGTCAAACTGAAGGAGACAAACCAGGTAGACCAAAGGAGGAAGGCTTTCCATCCCTTCAGTGCCTGCGCTACTACCTGAACATACAAATACCCAGTATTTGCTTCAAATGCAGATGGGCAATTTTCAAATAGACTACAAAAAAACCCCCACCCTTTCTCGTGAATTTGATTGTCACTGGCCAGACTGCATTTCTCTTCTCTAAGAGGAGCACACTGTAAGGAAAATAAAGAGACTTAACATACTAAAAGTCTTCCTTTGGACTTAGACCAAAAGTGCACGCTGGAGTGATTAGGACATGCCCTTTCATGGCCAGAAGGAATGGTACAGTGCTTGAGGATATGTGGTGGATCCAAACTTGCGCTAGAGAGTCCACTTAGCTTAAAAAAAAAATAATATATACATCTTCCACATTACTAGCTCCAAGACAAAATACTGCAATGCAGCAAATTTTTACAACATGCTCCCAGGGTATGCCAGCATGGAAATCCAGGAACAGGGCACTCAGCTGGAGAGAAACACTGAACAATGCACTGCACTGATCATGACGTGCTGAGTTAGATGACAACATGAAAGAGCATCTTAATAGGACAGCATGTGGCTTCTTCAACTCGAACCGCTACATTTTGAGCGGGCGGCAGCAATGTTCCAAATGACCCCATTATGTCTTGCTTTCTTTTAGTACATCTTTTGATGAACCATCAAGGAAAACATTTTCAAGCCTGAAGAACGCAGGAGTCTGGCAGTTGCACTGCAAGGAAGTTTCCTATGGAAGACAGCTTGCTGAACAGATATAGTAGGAAGGAAGAGTGCATCAGTAGCGTTTGCATGTCATCATCAATAGGGATTTATCGGGGCATAACCTGCACTGCAACTGAAGACTGAACCAACCTCATTTTTACCTGCAGGGGGTGCTGAGTACTCCATTGCAGCAACATACATGAACGTATTCAAACCAGTTTATTCTGAATCGCACCAGACCTGCCTTTCCATGACTCCTGTCATTACACCGCTGTGTACTCGCAGTGTGATTGGTTTAGTTGCTCGCTTCAGTAAAAGGCAGAAAGTAAGGCTGCATCCCAAAATGATGTGTAAGCCACAAGCAGCTCTTCTATTTTCCCTCCCTGTGAAAGGCAGAGCTTCCTACCAGATAGACAGCCGTCAGCATCTGAAAGGCAAGCACTGCGATTATCCTGCCTGGTGAGCTCTAAGCTGCTACTTTTTACTAGCAATAGTCATGCACTCGCCAGTCGGGCAGATGTGGGTTCGCCTGGGGAGGAAGGGGGAGGGAGTAAGCCCTCCCTTTGATGCTTTGTGGTGCAGCACACACTGTGCTGCCTGACGATCACAGCTGCAGCCAGCCTTGCCATACTCCAACATCCCAGCTACCGTCCCATCCATCACACAACCCCGCAAGACTGCTCCAAGGAATTCCACCAGAAAAAGTGGAAATGCACTTTGGAAATGGCTGCAGTAACAACCTTCCGTCACTCTGGTTTGACTTGTACATCCACATTCGTTTTCTTCACTAATGTTTAGGTCTGTCTGGTGACTGGTGTACTGCTGGTTAGCATCCCACACCAAGCGCAATCTGAAGTTGGTTGCAGAGCTGACTGCTGCAGCTCAGGTCTGAACTTGGAAACAGCTCTTCTAAAACACTTTCGGAGTATTGCCATGGCTTTTTGGGCCAAAACAAGTGGCCTTTGACTAGTGAGCCAGGGACTTGGCAGATAAAACCTACACCATGAGCAACTTTTGCGAAAAAGTGCATATAAAAAAAGAAACCTGAGACTAAGGTAAAAGCACTTGCCAGATCAGCAGCTCCACTGATGCTGAGGTACGGAATAGCAGCTGTTTGGAACCAGCTCAGCCCCGCTGGGATCCCAGCACAGCCCCTCGTGTTTTTGGGTGAAACGCCACACCCAAAGTTTCACATCTCATTCGCAAAAGGTATTAACAGGTTTTAAGATGCATTGTGTCTGGATTAACACTGTTACTGCACTTCTATTCCTGACAGCAAATCCTTATCCTTTAACTACTTCAGTGACAGGCTTCAAGCCTCCAGTAGACTACTCTGAACAAGGTTTACAGCCTGTTTCAGCCCTCTGGATGCAGACAGGGACATTTCCACAGGGACAGAGTAACAGTGCAAAGAGCAAGAGGATGAGTTTTTCAGGTAGTCTATTTAAGTGTATGATGAACTGGGACTGCCTATGTGTGTTTAAAATCCAATTTCTCACACCTCGGCTACTTAATATGCAGAATATTTCCTCATACAGAAGGCCTAGAAGGCTCATAAGTCACCTAACAGCCTTTCTAGTTGTCTAGGCTTCTCTGTTTTCACTACAACTGTATCTTTGCAAAACAATGACAGCAAAAGTAAAATCATCACTGCTGCAATTACTATTGCAGTTACAGCTGAGGAGGAAACCACAGAAGAGGACTCTATTGAGAGAAGAGGGCTAGTCTTGTGCTTTATCTGAGGAGAAACCAGTTCCACGTTTAAGCAGGTAGATTCATTTCTACCATTTCCATGATGCACAGAACCAGTATCTTGGAAAAGAAGTGGCAACCGAAACAAACAATGCTGCTTTTCACACAGCAAGTCTTGGTACGGACTGCTCATTTAAGAGCTCTACAATCCTTGTTCAAGAACGATGAAGTGGCTCAAGGTTCAAACAAAAAAAAAAATCCCCCTTCTAAAGTTAAAGAATAAAAAACCCCTAGTGGCTAATAGTCCTCTAATCAGTTGCACCCCAGAGATGTAGCTCCTTCAGTCAAAAAAGTAATCCCTAAGTGAGTTTGTAAGAGATGTTGGCACATCCAAAGCTCTGTGATGATGCCTATCCCTGTCACACTGACAGAAGCACTTTGCTCGACAGCACCATACGTCAGTGTCTCTACGTGAATATTAAGGCTTCAGTGGGTCGGTGAGTTATACTTGATTTATTTTTCTTAAAGCTTGTCCTCATTTACATCAGTGAACCACTTCCATCCTCCCCCAAAATAACAATCATTTGCTATGCCTTACTACTACAGCTATGGACACCAGCTTGCTTTACTAACAATAGCAGAGTACTACAGGTAAAACGCACATGGCATTTGTAACATGTCTCTAAAGACTCCGCTGCAAGTTTGCAGCTAATAGTTAAGACTTCCTTATTCCCCTACATCGAATGTTCTGGTCATAATCTTTTCTGACAAAAAACTATTTAGGACTGGAAGCTGCAGTTACCTGGTTTTGGCAGCAATACCATTTTGACCAGTCCAGCTCATCTCGAATAGCAATATCGTTAATCCTACACATAGCCAGAGAGGTACAAGTAGCCATCCAGAGAGGCCAAGTAACTCAGGATAACAGTGAACCTGAGGCTTTTGCTGCAGTACATTTGCTAGACAGACTTCCACTGGAGATTCTGGTACTGTTTATACTGTGCCAGAAAGGAGTGTCTTTCGAAATACCTTGCAAATATTTTACAAAGCAGATCAAAGTGCTCTGGGTAACAGCTTGAATTTAAATGTTTAAGATAGCATGGCAGACCCCTAAAAAGCAAGCATCAGTCTTACACTTCTTGTGTACTTCTTGTCAGGTGGGCGCGAATCAAGAGCAACTCCAACAGTGGAGAATTTACATTAACAGTTATTGCACTATGGGCTAGTGCTTTTAATGGAGAACAGTCACTTGCTTTCTGTGTGGCAATATATTTTAAAACCTGACACACTGAAGTGGATACCTGTGTGGATAAGACAAGAAGATCTTTATCAACTTTCCCACCGATGTCAGTAGTGGCAGAATTCGTCTGATCCAATACCCCATTTAGTCTCTCAAATAACTGCAGTTGTTTCTATTCGTTTGTTTTGCAATGTTTTGTCCAAGCCAAAAGGAGGGTTTAAAAAAGAAAAAAGAATACTTACATCTTTTATCTTCTTTTCCCACATTCTGACACGCTTTGTAATTCCCAGCATACATGTTACATAGCAAGTGTGTATATATATGCGCATTATATAAAATATATACTTTACATACACACTAAAGGTCTCTCTTCACATTAGTATTACACATTCTGAAGAACCCAACTGCAAACAGTTCAGAATACCTAACCAATCCAGAAAGGGGAAAAAAGAATAAGCTACCCAAAATCCCTAGGAAAGCTTCACACTCCTTGCAGGTACCAAGAGATCCCATTTTCTTATGATCAGAGGAATAGTTATATTTCCACACTGCTTTGCTCCCCCTAGACACACCCTACACTGCAGTTTCAGTGTTGGGAAGTGCTAGTTGCTCCCTTTCCAGAGAGTAATATTAATAAATTAAAAAAGTTTCTCTGAAAGTGCTGCCTTAGTCCAGTCCATCATGCCGTGCTTTCACACTCGCCCCGTGGCTCTGCTGCACCATTGCTGAACCATTCACCACTTTCTTGACCTTCTTCATGCCCTCCATTACTCCAGAAGTCGTCACCCTGGAAGAGAAGGGAGAAACATCAGAGAACAGAACTTGAACTGTAACATCCATTTCACCAATAGCCCATGCTTGTCTTCCTGCGCATATCAAGTAACTCCTTGAGTGTCTCTTTACCAAGACTTAGCAGTCTTGTGTTTGGTCTCTCCTATTGCTACTGTTTTGCAGGCCAGGTATCATCTTGGACACAATGCTGCTGGACATTGGGAGCAAGGCCACAGTCCTTGAGAGTCTCAAGGCCCTCCCCATCTATCATTAAACTAAACCAGCAAATAGTACTTGCTTGTACTTGAAGAAAGATAGTGGGATAGTTAAACAGTTAAATCAGGTGTTTATTTGCTGAAGTTTGAGCAGCTTGCTTAAAAACCCTTTTGCTATGCAGCTGAACACCCTTAATTCTGTGCATTAAAGACTTTCATCTGCATTTGCAATGCTTTTAATAGGTACAATGTATTATACAAATGCATATGCGGTGGACAGTGCCCCAAACGAACCTTATTAGCTTAATGCACACCAACTCCTCTTAATAGTAAAAATACTCAATGAACAGCAACAAAACAGAGGAGAGGTCATCCTTTTTATACCATCCAAGTCTGGATTTGTCATGGCAGTCTGACCATTGAACTATAAAGCCTCATAATACCATTCAAACATTAGGCAGACTGAACCACTTATCCAGCCAGAACAGCACCACTCCTCTTGGAACTACCTTGGCTATCCAACAAGCTCCTCAGCCCAGCAGCTTTCTCTGTCACTATACATAGCAAGCTATTTGCATGCACAAGACATTTGGTTTATTCTCTACCACAATACTATTCTCATTCCATACAGGTATTTTTTTTCCCCACAAATGTGCTACTAAGGTTATTTTGGATGTTGAAAGTAAGAGTGCCAATAGCTCAAGGCATTCACAAGGGATGCCTGGAAGCATACATAAAACCACCCTGTTCAAAGATGCTGCTGTCAGCCTTTGTGTGCTTTCACCTGCTGTTTACCATGTAAGAATACTTTATTTGATCAGACTAGCTAACAACTTTTTCACAGTATCACCCAACAGAAGTAGTAATCTTCAGAGACACTCTTCTGATAATGCCCTTAGTTCCATGTTACATATCAGCTTCTGTTCATCTACTGTAAAAATAATTTGCTCACACTGTTGCATTCAGTGACTCTAGCAGTGGCAGTGCTGCTACTGTCAGTGGTTCAGACACTAAGTGGGGCTAGATAAGCTTGTGCTTAAGGGAATAGGTCAGAAGAGTACAGATCAAATAGCAACTTTATTGATATTAAAAAAAAACCAGAAGGGAGAAAAAGCAAGCAAGTTGCTTAAAGGAGAAAGATGGAAATAAGAAACATTTGCCTGGAGGAAATGACATCTAGCATATCAGCACAGAGAACATGTAGATCTTTTAAGTTCTCCCTGTTGACAGAGGTTTTCCCATAGTCACATAGGAAAAAATCTGGGGAAACATGAGCTAGACAAAACCATCAAAGTAGATACATAACTAATTGGAAAAGCATGTATTGAGATGTACTTAATGGTTTCCTGTCAAAAATGAAAGAACATTGAGTGTGTTTCCAGAGAGGTCTGTCCTGGGTTCACTTCTACTCAATATTTTCAGTAATTGCCTGGGTAATGGAATAGAGAACTTAATTATTAAATCTGCAGAAGACACTAAGAGCTACATATTTGAGAACAGGACTAGAATGCAGAAACATTCTGGCAAATCAAAGTAATGGTCTGAAAAATATGGGACAATGCAGCAAAACAACCACAAAGTTTACTCTTCAGAAATAAACTTTGAAATTACAGAGTAAGGGGCTATATCAATTCTTCAGGGAGGAGCTGAAGATTACAATGGACTACAAACCAAAAATGAGCCACTAACATAGCAACACAACAGCAGACACACTGGTATACATAGACGTGTTTTGCATATGCATGACACCAAAGTAGTCCTAACGCTTGACTCACAGCTAGTAAGATCCCACCTGGCATGCAGTCTAGATTTTAGTACTGCACTTCAATACAATTACAAACACATTACACACCAAGATGATGACAAAAAATATGATCAGAGGTTAGGGCTAAGAGGGAATGAGCCACTTTCATGGAGGTGAAGGACAAACAGTTACACACTGAAATTGCAGCCAGGTCAAGTGTCATTCATAACCAGAGAGGCCATTTACTGTCCCCACCCTGCAACAATAGCAAAGAATGGGGAAAGATCTTGGGGTGGATTCCTCAACAGCAAAAAGTTAAAGACCATCTGATGAGCACTGTTCTTGTCTCAGGACAAGCGTACCGCATAGCTCTCACGTCCTCATTTTCCCAGATTGTTCGGGTACAACAGGCAACTCCTCTCCCTCTCAACATCAGTTCAGCCAACATGTTTTAGCGTCCAGTAAAATAAGGGTATCGGCACTAAGACCTAGCACACCACAATTCTCATTCTAGTCCTCTGAGCAGTCTCAAGACTTCAGTTCTGACCTGCAATGCTTCAGGTAAGCGTTCCTCACCTGCAGTCTGCTGAACTGCATTTCTACCCCACAAACTAGCAGCAGCTAAAACACAACAAATCCTTCTCATTAAACCATCTCTTTCCAGATAAGTTTTTGTGGCTGTCAGAGGGATACCTGTCACAAAAGGAGTTCCCTGAGCACCCCATAGCACAGTGCTGCGGAAGTTTCATACTTTTCTTCCTCCCCTACATTGTATTAAGGTATCAAGAGAACGCTAAAAATTCAGAAGCATTTTCAGCCCTCTGCAGTGGTGGGTCTCAGCTGTCACGTCTCCTGTTGGTTTTGTTTTATCATCCCAACAAGAAACACTCTGATACTGGCAGCAGCCAGACTTTACAAACTACTGCAAATTGGAGTGAAAACAGATCAGACATTGAGCAAAAAAGCTGATCTTTGCATGGGACAGATGTGTTAGGTGAAGAAAATCACTTCTAATGCAGAGTGTCATGAATCAGTCTGCTGTGAAGCATAACCTGAGAGAAAGCAGAGAAAAAAGCAACCAACCAGGACTTCATGTCTCAGCACAGAATAGGCTGCCTCATGATACAGTGAGAAACTCCAGATCCCAAGGCATAAGCAAAGGTAGGTCAGCGTTACCACAACAGTTCATTATGTTGAGGCTGGTTTGGGTGTTAAGGAAAAACAACATTAGTCTCCATGCACCCAGCAAGATGGATTTATTGAATTGAGAACAAAATCATTAATGGCTTTCCTGCAATTCCTCCTCCAGTGGAAATATCTTAGCCCCACATGCATGTATGAACATTATTCTCGACCCAAGATCCGTAGAAGAGCACTTTGGTACCTAACATTTAAAGCAAACTGACTGAGCTAGTGAAATAACTTACTGCAAGAGTACAAAAAACCATCAACCCCAAAACTACTGATTTTCCCCTTCTTCACCCCACCACATCTACTGCACTGTTTATATTTCTGCGTTCATGCCCCAGAAATGGCATTAGGACTGGAAACCTGACAACTCTTTCTGCCAAGCGTGGCTGCACCTTTTCAGAGTACTTTAACAAACTGTCAGTGACAAGCCCACATACTGACAGAACGGGCTCAAAAGGCTGCCCAGTGCAGAATACATAGAAAGTCACTTTGTTGATGGTGAATGGCTATTGACCCTACTTGAAAAAGGACAGACTGGTCCTTACTTCAGGTTTAGTCACACTCTCCTCTCCATCAGGACAGCTTCTATTGAGTCTGGTATAATCGAAGGAAAGTCCTATAACATTTGTGGATGCTTTCTCCCAGGATAGAGGCATGTTAGTTGAAAGGACTTGCTACGTGTTACCTTTGCTTGTTCTTGATTTAAGTTTCATTTCTGAGTTACAAGAATTTAGAGGGGGATTTGTGCCTTACGTTGCTTCTGTCATAGGCACCTAGTCCTTGGATTTTTCTTGAAACTTCGCACATTTCTACACTGTCCTTAACAACATTTACATTTACTGTCAGAATGAGCTTTGTCTATTTTGCACTGCAATTAAACAGGCATAAGCTAGTGAGCTGCACTTAAAATGTCCCATTTTTTGCTGGATGACAAGCAAGCCTGGAAAACAGGCTTGGTGACCTCACAGCTCTCCCCTCCCTTGGCTTATAGAAATGTTGAGTCTAAAGAAACTGAATGCTTCTGCAGCAGAGGTTTTAAAGAGCCTGATTTTAACAAAAACCCTCTGGGAGAGGAAAACCACCATACGACCTGGCAATAAGACATGGAACACCACCATGAAGTTTGAAGTTTGCAGACTTTTAACTGCTGCCATAGCCTCTGAAGACAAGTGTGTATTTATCACATGAAAAACAAAACACACTCATACAATGGTTAGTCAGGATGCTGTCAGGCACTTAGTCACTTGCTCAAATAAGCCTTGGTATTTTTCCCCTCACAGAAACAACATTTAATATTTATAAAATCAAAAATAGGACCAGCAACACCAAGTGAACAAGAAATTTAATACACTTTCATTGCAGTGCTTCACTTGTCACAGAATGTGTATACACCACGATTTTCAAAAATGTGCAAACTTAACCTCCATGATGCAGCTGGGGAAGGAAGAACAAGACTCTCTAACAGATTATACCCTGCCAAGTGCCCAAATGGGAGTAAAACTTCTGGTGAATCAGATGAGAAAAATTCAAGCAAGGCTAAGGGGAACAAACCCACAAGGCACAACAATGGAAATTCCCAAGGCAGAGAGCAAAATGCCTTACTAGGAGAAGGCTCACAAGGAATTCTGATCCTCATTTTTCTAGTAATGTCTATTTCACTATGGCACAATGTAAATCACTTAATTAGTTCATTAAACTTTCTCCAACTTATTCCTGGCAGGTTCTCTTAAATTTCACAGCTTCTCCAATTTACTGAAATTACTACATGTGAAAGGTATCATATTATTAGTCCTAAAAAAACCCCAAGTAAAAATTCATTAAGCACATCATGCAAAGCTGAAATTCACTCTAAAGAGGCAATCTTGTAGGAAAAAAGCTCTATTCTGTACAATCACTAATCCTGCCACAGCTTCCAGTTCAGACAGTGCCCTCCTAATGTGGATGCTTATTTACCAGCTCCCAAACTGAAGCCAACTTCTTACATAAACCATTGAAACATTTTTAAGTGATAGTGATTTTAGGGTCACTACCCACTAGTTGGATTCTGCTAGCAACAGTGACAGATTTTACGGATCCAAAGCAAAAATAACTAAGCATTCAGAAATATGATCTTTGTTACTGGAGACATTTCTGAGAAATTAAACTCCTTGCAGGACATTTCAGGCTGTATTCTACCTCAAACCTCCTTGTAACAATTTCCCAATAAGGTCCATTTCTTTTTAGTGTCTATGAGGGCGAACACATTCTGACTTTTTTTTTTTTTGCTCCTGCAATTAAAGATTGGAGCGTTGATTCGTTTCACCCAAGATCAGGTAAAGGAGATTTGCCAAACTTTAAAAAAAAACTCTTAGGAACAGGCTTCGGAACCTGTACACGAATTGCAATTATGCATGAAATGTGGAACTACTAAGGAGATTAGGTTAGCTCAGCTCCTATTAAGGCAACAGAGTCTGTGGCAATTATAGCTGTATTCAACACTTCTAGCATGCTGAATTTCTTAGGGCAGTTTCTATTATAGATTAAGAAATGTCACTCATTTTCTAAGTCTTCAGAAAACCACTGCAAAGAAAGTGATAGGGACTTAGGGCTGAGCCCCACTTTATAATTTCTCTCAGGTCCTGCTGCATTTGTGGTGTCTCACGGTTTAGCAGCAAGCAATAGAACAGTGGAGTATTGGTAAAAATCCACCTCTCCTCAGCTCAGCATTACTTAAGATAAATTTCTGCAAAGCTACAGGCTGAGCTTCAAGGTAGAAGTGACCATACACCACGTTCATTCATATTCTGTAGATTGGTAGTTTGGTTTTTTGTTATTTGTTTGTTTGTTTTTAAATATGAAGCATTAATGACAATCTGTAAGGCTCATTGTGTTCAGCACCACAGATTAAATATAGAACCTTTTTTTACTTGGTATTTTCATGCATATCTTTTTGCCCCGTGAGAAGCTTTATCAGCTTATTCCACACTACTGCAATATCCAGCTCAGATGCTCCTATGTATACCACAAATCTCTCTGGTAGTTTAACACACACCGAACAGACGCCTCATCTTTAAACGTGTGGGCAGATCTTTTTCAAAGAAGGATTTAGAGAGATTAAACTGTTTTTAAACCATTAGTTTTCTCAAATCAAGTGAAGAGGCAAAAAAGGGAGAGGGGAGGGGTTCTTACACAGCTTCCATCTCCAAGTCATCCTCATCATCTTGAGAAAGCTGTAGATAAGGGTTGTCTGATGCTGGACGGAACTTGTACCCAGTGAGGACAAAGAACACAAGTGTGGCCATCTCATCCAACAGCTGCAAGTAAAAACACAAGACTGAAGTTCAGTCCTGTCATGGTCAAACATGTTCAGAACTTCACAGTCTGGGACCGGCACTGTTCAACATCTTTGTTG